TCCAGTTAACCACCAGAAACCTAGAAGTGCCACTATGGCTCAAGTGATAGAGTGCTCACCTTGAGCTGAAGAGCTGAGGGACAGTGCCCCGAACCAGAGTTCAAGCCCCATGATTGACAAAAAGAAAAAAAAAAAGCTGGGCACCAGTAGCTCACACCTGTGATCCTAGCTACTCAGAAGGCTGAGATCTGAGGATTGTAGTTTGAAGCCAGCCCATGCAGAAAAGTCCCCCTGAGATTCTATTTCCAATTAACCATTCAAAAACTGGTGCTGTGACTCAAGTGGTAGTGTGCTTGACTTGAACACAAGGAGGCTGAGGGATAGCACGCGGGCCCTGAGTTCAAGTCCCATACCCAACAACAACAACAAAAAATTAAACAAAAACCAAAAAACTATTGTTTAAATTTAGGAAAATGATACTATTTTATTGTAAAATATTCAAAACATATTTAACTTAAACTTTTCATATAACATGGCTACTAAAAGTTTGATTGCAATTCTTTAAAAGGATTCTAGTACATTGTTAATTGGTGCTGAGTTTTATTTTTGCTTGAAAGTTAAATTTCAGAAAATTTACATAGTGCTTCATGTAGAATGAAGAATGGAATGCTATATAATTTAAATTATTTTACCTTCTAAAAATCATAATAAACCTAAAGAGTGCTTATAAGCACACCTACTATAATAAAACACATATACAGAAATACAACTTTATAATTGTTTATGAAAAGCTGAGATAATGGCAATGAGAGTGGGAATTTTGAAGATTTTAGAGAGAAAATGTATGGAGAAAATTACTGAGTCAAAACTAATTCTAAGGGATCTGTCTTTGAATGACTGGTATTTCATAGTTAGCCTAGATAGGAGAAAACAGCGTGAATTAGGGTTTTCCTATTATTAATCTTCTAAACTAGAAGTTTGGGTAGCAATTTATCTAGACTTACTTAAAATAATGTGGTTTTCTATTGATAAAGGAAGTTGCTTGCTTAAACTGGATAACTTCTTTTTTTCAGGTTTCCACAAGCATCTGCATCTTATATATTGCTACAATTTGCACAATATGGAAATATCTTAAAACATGTGGTAAGCGGTACTTTTTTTTAATTCAAGATTTTGGCTGAGGAAAGAGAAGCTGTGAATTGAAGGAAACTACTTCTGAACTTTGTGTATGCTTTTCTAAATAAAATTTTTCTTTTTCCTTTTTTTTTTTTTGTTAAGTTTTGAAAGAATAGGGCTGGGTGTTTGACTGAAGTGGTAGAATGCTTGCCTAGCAAAGGGGCAGGTTCCTGAGTTCAGAACTAGTGCTCTCCCCATGAAGTTTTGAATCTGCCTGCCTGTCTGTCTGTCTATCTGTGTATGTATCTGTGTATCTGTCTTTGCCTGCCTGCCTGCCTGGCTACCTATCTACCTACCTACCTATCTACCTCCCTACCTCCCTACCTACCTACTTACTTACCTACCTACTTACTTACCTACTTACTTACTTACTTTTTTTTGTTGTGGGGACGTAGCAGTCCTAGGACTTGAACTCAGGGCCTGTTCATAGTCTCTGAGCTTTTTTGCTCACTATTTGAGCCACAGCTGCACATCCAGCTTTTTGGTAGTTAATTGTAGCTAAGAATCTTAATGGCCTTTTCTACCATGGCTGGCTTTGAACACTGATCCTCAGATCTCAGCCTCTTTGGTAGTTAGGCTTACAGATGTTATTTATTGTCCAGAAGGCTCAGAATTGCATAGTGCTTGAGAGTTTCAGCATCTATTCCTCCATTGTTCAGTGTCTTTAAAAGATAGATTACTAAAAATAGATGAATTATTTATTATTACTATTATGATTATTATTATTGCTGGTCCTGGGGTTTGAACTTAGAGCCTAGGTCTCTGAGCTTTTTGCTTAAGGCTAGTGCTCTAACCCCTTGAGCAATACCTCCACTTCTGGGCGTTTGCTGGTTAATTGGAGATAAGATTCTCAAAGACTCTCTTGCTCTGGCTGGTTTCAACAGATCTCAGATTCCTGAATAGGTAGGAGAACAGGAGTAAGCCACTGATATCCAGTAAACTATACTATTTTCTAATATAAGCTAGCTTTTGGGGAATAAAATAAGAGAAGTTTCATGGTATTACTGCTTTTTCTCTAATTGGGAGTTTTAAAAAATTGTTTATATCTTGCCCAAGTTGTCCCCTTCCCTCCCCCCCCATCAGTGTGAACTTAACTCCTATACCAAATTGTATTGAATACAGTTTCTTAAAAATTTCATATCAGGTGTCAATTTGGCTTTTTTTTTTTTTTTTTACAGGAAACAAGCTTTTTGAGAATTACTTTTAGAGTATATTAGCCATCTACTTTTTGTTTTAGAGAATTGGAGCTAGGTAGAGATTATTAAAACTTCCATTGGATTTTTGTTGAATTATAATATACAATGTTTTTAGAGAGCATGAAACAAAAGTCAAAGTATGAATTTATTCTCACATTTCTATTTTCTGATAAAATTCATTAGTACAAATTTTACATATTTTATATCTTAAGAGAAGACTATTTTTTGCAGATGTCCAACACAGGAAACTGGATGCATATTCGTTACCAGTCTAAACTGCAGGCCCGGAAAGCTTTAAGCAAAGATGGGAGGATATTTGGAGAGTCCATCATGATTGGTGTAAAACCATGCATCGATAAAGTAAGTTTTTGGTGATAGACACCATGGCAGTATGTCACCTGCCTTCCCCATATCTCTTTTGCTTAGCTTATAAAAAATGTTATTTAAAGCTGGGTGCTAGTGGCTGCTCATGCCTGTAATCCTAGCTACTTAAGATGCTGAGATCTGCGGATGAGGCTCAAAGTCAGCCTAGGGATGAGGCTCAAAGTCAGCCTAGGCAGGAAAGTCTGTGAGACTGTTATCTTCATTTACCCACCAGAAAACTAGAAGTGGCACTGTGGCTCCAAGTGGTAGAGCACTAGCCTTGAGCAAAAAGAGCTTAGAGACAGCGCCCAGGCTGGAGATCAAGTCCCATGACTGACAGGAAAAAGTAAGCCAAAAATATTTAACTTTAAGATTTTAGAGATAATACATCCAAATCCCTTCATGTCACATAAAGAAGCCAAGAGAACAAAAGTAGCTTGTCCAATATTGAAGTGAGATCTAGACTTTAGATATCTTAACTACTAACCCATTTTGAACTGTACAAAGCAACATCAAATGTTGTTGAGAACTTCAAAGGAATGTTGCTGTTTCATAATGAATTGATAGCATTAAATAATGGGAGTTTGGGTTATGTATTTTAATTTCACAATACTTAGAAATAATGTATTTAAACACCAAGTAAAGTTCAAATTTTTCTTCTTTGTAAAATCACTGTGTACATAATGTATATGCAAACTTATACTACCATGTGTTTATTGCTTTGCACATACATGTTAACCAGCAAAACAGACTTGGTTTCTGTACTTAAAATGTGTTGTAGCCATGTGATTATATAATTGTGCTATATTACCAGAGAAGAGAGGACTTTTGGAGCTTTAGACTTTGATTCTCTTTTCCAATCCATATTCTCCAAGAATTTTTAATTTTGTCTTTGCTGACTTGCTTTAGAGGATTCTTAATTCTGGGCCTGGGCACTGTCCCTCAGCTCTTCAGCTCAAAGCTAGCGCGCTACCACTTGAGCCACAGCGCTACTTCTGGCTTTTGTTTTTCCTTTTTGCTTATGTGGTACTGAAGAATCGAACCCAGGGCCTCATGCATGCAAGGCAAGCGCTCTACCCCTGAGCACCTTCCCAGCCCCAGGATTCTTAATTCTTGTGGCTTATAAAGTTACATTGATGGGAAGGGGAAACAAAGGAGGAGGCTACAATGCTTGATAAGAAATGTACTCATTATCTTGCCCATGTAATTGTAACTCCTCTGTACAGTATTTTCACAATAAAAAAAAATAAAGTTACATTGAATTTTTTTTCCCTTGATGCCAGTATTGGGGCTTGAATCAGGGTTTGGGTGCAGTCCCTGAGCTTTTGTGTTGCAGGCTAGCAGTGTACTACTTGAGTCACAGCTCTATTTCTGGCCTGAGCTGTCTTTGAACCACAATCCTCAGATCTCAGCCTCCTGAATAACTAGGATTATAGGTAAGAAACTAGCTCCAGGCATATTAAAGTCTTTGAAGTGATTAAATTGAGATCTCTTGCTCAAATCCTGATCTTAAATGCTAGGAATCGTATTGTATTCTCAAACCTAAAATTATTGAAAGGGTTAATTAGAATACAGGAAAGCATGCCTCCTTTAATAATACTGTTTATGCAGTACTGTATATATGTGTATGCTTATAAACAAGGAATTGTTTATTTCTCTAGACTGTCATGGAAAACAGTGAAAGATGTTCTTTGTCATCACCATCTTTGGTATTTACACCACCAATTAAGACCTTAGGTACACCAGCACAATCCGGAAGTACTCCTAGGATTTCTACCATGAGACCTCTTGCTACAGCATACAAAGCTTCTACTAGTGATTATCAGGTATTTAAGTAGAATTGGATAAAAAAAGATCTAATTAAAGGCATTTTGAAAAAGATCCCATTGAATTGATATAGCTATTATTAAACTTTTCATGCTGGAGTGATTTCCTCATTGAAACCTTAAACTTTTAAATTTTCTATTTTTGTTTTTTTGTTTTTGGTCCAGTTGTGGGGCCTGAACTCTGGGCCTGGCCACTGTCCCTCAGCTCTTCATCTCAAGGCTAGCATGCTACCACTTGAGCCACAGCGCCACTTCCGGCTTTTTTCTTTTTGCTTATGTGGTGCTGAGGAATTGAACCCAGGGCCTCATTCATGCAAGGCAAGTGCTCTACCACTGAGCTACCTTCCCAGCCCTAAATTTTCTATTTTAAAGTTGGAATCTTGGCTAGTTTGAAAGTTGTCTTGTTTTATTTTTGTTTTTTCCTTTGGGCTGGGGATGTAGCTTCGTGGTTGAGTACTTTCCTCACATGCTCAATGTTGGAAAACAAAATTTAAAAAAATTGCCATTTCTTCAGACATTCTGATGTCTTTGAACTTTTCTGAGTTGTATTTGTATACAAAACAAAGTGTCTCCTGTACACATTGTTAGAATGAGAGAATATTATAACCCTGTTAAATCAGTGATAAAACTGATGATGTCACAATTTGGGTATCAAAAGAAGACTTTGGCCTACTATTATTCAGAGTTAAAAGTTTCATGTCATACATTTTTAAGGAAGTTCATTATATTTATTGGAAGTGATATAAGAATTTTGACTGTAAATTTTCTATATTATTGTCCACTAGTAATTAGTCAAAAGTATTTAATTTAGGCAGCCAAAGACATAGGTCTTAGATCACAGTACTTGAACACAAAAATGCTTGTATTCTTAGTAGGGCAAGTGGTGACAGTGTGGTTTTGATTCCCCTGAAATAGGAAGATCATTGTAAAATTGTTTCTGTTCCTTAGTTTTTTGTTTTTCAACCTGTATTTAAAACTCATTTCTTGATGTTCTTTTTAAAATTTGTTCAGTTTTCTAATTTATTTGTTTTTCTAAAGGAAAGAGTATTAGTATTCTTTTAAAAAAATATTGTAAAGCTGATACATAGAGGGTTTACAGTTACAAAAGTAAGGTAATGAGTACATTACCTCCTCTCATTTTCTCCCATTTCCTCTACCACTGACTCTCTTCTCCCCCCAGTTGTAAAGTTCATTTCCAACATAGTATCTATTGAGTATCACTGTTGCATTGGTTCACCTTCTGTCCCATCATTTCTGTGATTCTCTTTCCCCACTTCCCCAATTCAGATAAACTTATAAAGAAAACAAAGGGTACAGAAATAAAAAAACAGTGACACAGGGAAGGTGGGGAAGAAAAAAGAAAAAAAAGAAATAACTGCAAATAGTACAATTTAAAAAAAACTTCTTGCTTCTATTTCTTGGAGTTTTTTTTTTTTTTTCTTTGCCAGTCCTGGATCTTGAACTCAGGGCCTGTGTACTGTCCTTGAGCCTCTCTCTGCTCAAGACTAGCCTTCTATCACTTGTGCAACAGGGCTACTTCCGGCCTTTTCTGTTTATGTTGTACTGAGGAATTGAACTCAGGGTTTCTTGCATGCTAGGCAGGCACTATACCACTAAGCCACATTCCCAGCCTTGGCATTCATTTTGATAAGCATCATTTTTATATGGTTATATTTGAGTTGTTGGTATTCTTAAGAACATAAAGATATTACAAGTCCAAATTATAATCTTCAAAACATATAAATAATTGTTGGAAATGAATTTTAGTGATTTTAGTATTTCTCTTTTAAGTTAGCTATTATAGAATTGACTGTCATAGAAGAAATCATAACCTAACAGTTTCTTTTCCTTTTGTGTGTATTTTAATAGGTTATTTCTGACAGACAAACGCCAAAAAAAGATGAAAGTCTTGTCTCGAAAGCAATGGAGTACATGTTTGGCTGGTAGATAATAAGAGCTAAGAGCTCCGCTATGAAGGAGGAGGTCCTTGCACTAAAACCAGAGTTAGCAAAGTACCGCCAGTTTCCTTTGGTTAGTTGTATAACCATACTTGGCAGTGGTGGGTAGCTATCTCAGATGCTTATTTCTAAAGATTTTTTTTTTAAGAATACATCCTATTTGTAGCTCGCGCTTTAAAAGATGCTTGAGATACATTTTGAAGAAAACCTAAAAATCACTCTAGATAGGATTTTGTGCTTCATGTGATAGTGCATGCACAAGAAACTCAGCACTGATTATTGTAAACTAAGTAATTGAATTTGGAGAATTATCTCCTAGTTTTCATGAGAAGGTGAATTTCATGAAAGCTGCTTGTATTTACCAAGACACGATTATAACTAGCAATGTGAATGATGGTCTTTTAATTGAGATAGTATTTAATATTCTGATTACCTTTGTATATATCCTGTTGTGGTTTATCATCTTTTACTACTATAAAACCCAACTATTCTTTTTTAAAAACCTACTACTAAAATTTCTTGATAATAAACTTTGTCAATTATGTACTGAATATATTTTGAAGTGGTGATTTATTATTGTTTTATTTGTTCACTGAACTATAGAAAATATTTTATTAACTTTTGTATACCTAAAATCCAGCTTTAATTGCTTTTACGTTGTACCATTATTTTTTGTTTATTTATATTTTTAAGTAGTTCAAAGGGGTTTCAATTAAAATGTCCATTTATTGTAAGTGCAGTGTGTCTTGCTCTTCCATTATTCCCCTTCCCTCTCCTTTGTGTTTGTGTTTAAAGCACACACGAGATGGATGCAGTTTTAATATAAGTACTTCAGGATATATTAAAAAATAAAAATCATATTTCTCTATATAATTAAAATGTCCGTATCCCACTTACCAATTAGTAATGGTTACTGTGCAATATTCAGTTCATTAAATGAAATATTTATTATTTATTCAAATCATGATCAAACTCGATTTACACATTGTTATTTATCTCTTAACTGTCCTAGTAAGTTAGTTCTTTCCCTGGTCCCCATTGTCCAGCATACCACAACCTACTAAAGCTGCCTTGTGAGTTGACTGTAGTCTGAGCTTGCTCACTATTTTTTCTATGTCCTGGAAACTAGATCTAGAGAAGATTAGATTTTGATTTCATTTTTTTGGAAATAATAGTTGGTAGCTTCATGCTACACATAATAAGACAAAAGATATTAATTGTAGTTGTTTGATTTTAATGATGTTTTAACTGATCATGGTTATATGTGCAGAAGCCTGACACATCCTCATTGTAAACTTTACCATAATAATACATAATGTTTTAAAAAGCTATATTATTGATGCTTGTTCGGATCTGTTATTTCATTCAGGACTAAAAAATGACTTTTCTGCCCAATTTTTGTCATTTCTGTTGCATTTAACAAGCTAGGGCTATTTGGTTACTGTGATATATGTTCCTACAGAATGGCAGGATAAATACATAATCCTTTTCCTTTATTAATTTTCAGAGTGATGTTTTGGAATTACGACAACCACCAGTGCTATTCTATGAGCTTAAATATATTTTTTGTGGGCTGGGAAGTTGGCTCAGTGGTAAAGTGCTTGCCTTGCATGCATGAGGCCCTGGGTTCGATTCCTCAGCAGCACATAAGCAAAAAGAAAAAAGCTGGAAGTGGTGCTGTGGCTCCAGTGGTAGAGCGCTAGTCTTGAGCTGAAGAGCTGAGGGACAGTGGCCAGGCCCAGAGTTCAGGCCCCACGACCGGAACCAAAAAAAAAAAAATTGTCATAGTGTTCTTGTGGCCTTAAAAAAAAAAATCACTGCTTCATTGAGTCATTTAGTTGCTATCACTGTTACTTATCCGTATTATCTCCTTTGGCCAATTTATAAGAACCTAATTAAAGTGGCTCTTGTGAGATAGAGATTTATAATTGAAATAATATTTGACCAATAGTAACTGACATTTGTCCATGTATCTATATAATCTGTATATTTTCCTTTAGTTTTTATTTTATTAATCATGGCTTAAACAATATATACTATGGGAGATTTTATAGGTTTATTTAAAAAACCACAGCTGGGGCTGAGAAGGTGGCTCAGTGGTAGAGTGCTTGCTTTGCATGCATGAGGCCCTGGGTTCGATTCCTCAGCACCACATAAGTAGAAAAAAAAAGCCGGAAGTGGTGCTACGGCTCAAGTGGTAGCGTGCCAGCCTTGAGTTGAAGAGCTGAGGGACAGTGCCCAGGCCCAGAGTTCAGGCCCCACGACTGGACTCCCCCACCCCCCCCCCAAAAAAAAAATAAAAATAAAAAGACCGCAGCCAAACTAGAATTAAAGTTAAGTTTTTTGAGATGAAGTGATCCTAAGGAAACTTTTTTTTGTTTCTGTTTTGCAACAGTCCCTTTCTCTCTCTCTCTTTCTCTCTCTCTTTTCCAGTCCTAGGGCTTGAACTCAGGGCCTGAGGTCTGTCCTTGAGCTTCTTTTGCTCAAAGCTAGCACTCTACCACTTGAGCCACAGTGCTACTTCTGGCTTTTTCTGTGTATGTGGACTGAGGAATTGAACCAAGGGCCTCATGCAGGCAAGGCCAGTGCTCCACCACTGAGCCACCTTCCCAGCCCTGCAACAGTCTCTTAATGTAGAATTGGCTTCACTGGAACTTGCAGTCCTTTTGCTTTTGTCTCATGAGTGCTAGATTACATGTGTTTTCTACCAAAGCCCAACTCATCAGAAAACTTTTACACTCAAGTCTTATTCTTGATGCTATTTCATCTCCTGTTTTATTATATATTTGATTCCACTTTTAAAGATAGAAGTGGGTACTACGTTGTACTTTAAAAGATTTGAGTCCATGTAGTTTTGTATTTGTATTTTATTTTATTTTAATATAATTTATGTAATTTTGTTTAATTTAAAATTTGGTATTGGTACTGCGGCGTAAACTCAGTCTAGATTTGGTCACTTACCTTCTTTGCTCAAAGTTGGCACTCTATCATTTGAACTACAGCTCCACCTGCGGGTTTTTGATGGTTATTTAGGTTGAAGAGTCACATGTACCTACTACCTGAGCTGGCTTCAAACCACATTCCTCAGATCTCAGTCTCATGAGTGGATAGAATTGCAAGCGTGAGCCACAGATGCCTGGGTTATGTTTTGTTTTATAATAGTGTGTGCTCTTTACATAATCCATCATGGTACATGAAGTATCCTTTTTAGCTAAAAAGATGTTTGCTGTATTGCCCTCCTAATATTCTCTGAACTATCTTTGTTGTCACATTTACTAAGTAGTGCCAAGGAAATCTCAAGAAGCAAACTACTACTGTATTTTTCAACATTTTCCCAAAAGAAACAGAGATGAGATTGCTTTGAAGCCATAAAGTCCATTTAACAAAACCTTTTTCTGAAAGTTCAGAAACACTGATCCACACAGAAAGAACAGAAATTTATAGTCATGCCCAGTTATCTAAAACAGAGGGCAAGGAATGAAATAATGAAATTACACCAGAAAAGCATGCCTATACATTTTTATAAAAGTGTTAAAAGATGCAAAAAAATGATACAGCATGTAAAAGAATAGGAAAAATCAGAATTTGAATTTTGAGAAAATAGAAAAATTAAACCATATTGAGAATGAACAAAACAACAGAGAATGCTTTAAAGGATATATACCATTAAAAGAGAATGGTGGCTTAAAATGTAGTTCAGTGATGGCATCCATTAGGCTCTAGGTTTGATCTCCAATACTGCCAAATTAAAAATAGAGATCAGAGGAAAACACAAAGGATTAGTGAGAAATTGGAAGAACACATCACTTGTGAGAATCTTATAGAAAGCAAGAATAAGGCAGAAGTTTATGGTTTGGCTATCTAGAAAAACAGCAAGTGACTTGTAAAAGCAAGACTTATAATAATAGCCTTATGCCAAGAGGAAGGAGAAAACCTAATAAATAGATTTAACATATTTATGGAATGAAAATGTGAACAAAACATTTCATGTGGGGGCTGAGAAGGTGGCTCAATGGTAGAGTGCTTGCCTTGCATAAGGGGCCCTGAGTTCAATTCCTCAGCACCACATAAACAGAAATAGCTGGAAGTGGTGCTGTGGCTCAAGTAGTAGAGCGCTAGCCTTGAGCTGAAGAGCTTGGACAGTGCCCAGGCCCAGAGTTCAAGCCCCATGACTGGCCAAAACAGAAAGCCCCAAACACTCTCCCCCCCCCCCCCCCCCGCCCATACCAACATTTCATGTATAAAAAAACTGACAAGGATAAAAATCAATGCTTGTACATTATCCAGATACAAGAATTAGGAGAGCATATTCCCTTTGATTTTTGCTTCCTGAGAAATGAAATAGAGATGCACCTCAAATAAGCTGAATGAATACATGTTTAACATCTGTGATGAGTGTTTGATACCATAGCACTAGATCAAGGATCTTATGAGATTTAATGCATGAAGCTCAGCAGTTGGAGTAGATTTTCCTCTAGACTTGATTAGCATTTAATACAGAGCACATTTTGGTTTATGAATGTACCAGGCTGACATATCTGAACCAAGCCAGTGTTTTCTCTGGTGTTCAGAAAGAATAGCATAGCTCCACAATTTAAGAATTGCCAGAGATTTTGTGATAGTTCTAGAATGATAGTCTAGAGTCATGGGACATACCTGGTAATGTGGTCAAGTGTCAAGGTTATTTGTGTTATTTCAGAGCTCTATTACTCTGGGTCCCACTAAAATCTTGTAAGTCATCTGAGAAATGGGCTAAGGTTTCTAACCGTCAAGTGCTGTATCTTTTGTTTGTTTATTAGCAATAGGAAGGACAATGATTTGTCCTTTAGGGAGGAGGTATCTAATATGACCCCGACCAGTGGATCCTCATACTTTACAGAGAATGTGGTAAGCTTCACAATTTTTGTGGTTTTTCTCCTATTGTCTGGCATGCATGTAACTCACCAAAAGTCTCTGAACTATTTTATTAAAGGCTAGTGCTCTACCACTTGAGCCACAGCTCTACTTCTGGCTTTTTTGATGCTTAATTTGGAGATAAGAATCTGATGGACTTTACTATCTGGGCTGGCTTTGAACCTCAGATCTTAGCCTCCTGAGTAACTACAAGTACTGGTAGCTACCTGTGCCTGGCTGCAACCACTTTCTTTGGGATTTTCTCCGATGATGGTATACACCTTCAATTCCATCAGGAGGCTGCATCAGCAGGATCATGGGGTTATGACCTGCCTAGTCAGCCTAGTAAGAACTTGTCTAAAAAAAAAAAACAAGTAGATTTTTCCTTTCTAATTTTTTCTTATTTACTTGCTCTTACAAGTAGAACTTTTAGCATTATGTTACACACAAAAGACAAATTTTCCTTTTTTCTTTTTTTTTGGACATGGGGCATGAACTCGGCCTGAGCACTGTCCCTCAGCTCTTCAGCTCAAGGCAAGCCCTCTACCAGTTGAGCCAGAGTGCCCCTTCCGGCTTTTTCTGCATATGTAGTGCTGAGGAATGGAACCCAGGGCCTCATGCATGCAAGGCAAGCACTCTACCACTGAGCCACCTTCCCAGCCCCACAATTTTTCCTTTGTTTCCCATCTTCGTGCCAAATCTTGTAGATTTTCACCATTGATTATGTTCTCTCTGTTTTTGTCAGTGCCACTGGGGACTGAATCCAGGGAGACATTTCAGGCAAATGCTCTAACATGGAGTTACCATGAAAAACCCAAACCCTGCCATTCCTATTCAGTTGACTTTTTATTGTGAAAGTTGTTGAATTTTTCCCAGTGTTTTTTCTGTCAGTTAAAATAATCACATTTTTCTCACCTTTTATTTTACATGATTTTATATTTTTTCAACTGTCCTACTACTCCAGGAGTAAATCCTATGTATTATGACCAGAATATTAGACTGTGGTTTTTGTTGTCTGAGTGACTTGTTTTGATATCAAGGTAACACAGTTTTATGAATTTGGAGATTTTCCTTGTTAAGGTTTTGGAATAATTAAAACTCACCACTGACAACATCAGGTCTAGGGCTTTTCTTCATCAGATTTTTTTTTTCTTTTTGTAGTCCTGGGACTTGAACTCAGGGCCTGGGCGCTGTCTTGGAGCTTCTTTTAGTCAATGCTAGCGCTCTACCACTTTGAGCCACAGTGCCACTTCTGGCTTTTTCTGTGTATGTGGTATTGAGGAATCGAACCCAGGGTTTCATGCATGCTAGGCAAGCTCTCTACTACTAAGCCACCCTCCCAGGCATTCATCAAACTTTTGATAGACTTAGTTTCCTAGTTATA